TATTGGCAAATACCTATGGACGGGGTTAGCTGGCGAAGTTGGCAGGATCCACATCGGTAGCAGGAACGGGAGCAGTGCTGGATAATTGATCGCAAGTATGTCGGCGATCACAAGTTGAGCAGAGGGAGGATGAGTATCCGCGGACGATGTGCTCAGACTTAACGCAAACGAAGCAGAGGGCAAGACGCCGGACTTCATCGTATTGTTCCTCAGCTGGCAGGGAGAGGAACCTTGGGCAGGAAGGCACAGAATGTGCCAGGATACCACATAGGGCACACGGAGCCGGAGAACTATAAAGGAGCATCCACGAACGATTATGAACTGGCCTACGTCGGCTCACTGTATTCGCTGACGGAGCTAAGGCCAAAACCATAATCTCAAGGGTACGCAGCACAACTTCACGCATTTTGTGACGGTTCATCTATGTCCTATGCGGCTGCGGCTTATTTAAGGCTCGAACACATGGACGGAACGTGCTATACCTCTCTACGGGCCGCCAGATCGAGGGTTTCCCTTACGAAACCTTTAACTATACCGAGAACGGAGCTGAATGGCGCAGTGCTGGTAATTAAGTTGGTGAAATGGTTTACTTCGGCTATGTGGCTAAGCGATCTACCCATCCGAACTTTCTATTGGACGGATGCCACCATTCTCTTACACTGGTTGAATGGGGACGTCAATAGATGGAAGACTTTCGTTGCCAACAGGGTCGCTTTCATTTTGTATCATTCGTCGCCCGCGCAATGGAGACATGTAGGTATGGCCGAGAATGCCGAATACTATGCGACAAGGGTCTTTCTCCGAGTGAGTTAAAGGATTTTGACTTGTGGTGAGTGGCTTGCGTGCAGCCCAGGTGATTAGCCTTCGAGGCAGTTGGAGCAGGTCGACATTGGCACCGCCGCGCTGGAGGCAAAGGCGGACACAGTGCGCATTCACCACGCAGTCCCGCTTCCAACGTTCGTTGACAAATTTTCTACCTTCAGCCGCGCTTTACGCGTCGCGGGCTATGCAATCCGCTTCAAGAACAATTCTGTTGGCAAAAGGGACAGGTACATCGGGCCCCTAGGCATTGAAGAGCTCGACAATGCTCTACTGTCTAAAGTGCACATGGAACAGCGGGAAATGTTCCCAACGGATTTTGCCACAGTAAGGAACGGTAAGCGGCTGCCCTCAGGAACTAAGCTCTTGAATTTTTCGCCGACTTTATCGGATGACATTTTGCGAGTAAGGGGGCGCTTACGCCATTCCAGCCTGCCTTACGAGTGCCGACATCCAATGATACTTCCAAGCTCTCATCATTTTACTGAGGCAGTAACACGGTATTCGCACGGAGGTATGCACTGACTTTGGCGCATACACGCCAACGGTTCTGGATACTGACAGAAAGACAAGCAGTTCGAAGGGTTGTACAGAAATGTGTCTTGTGTTTCCGGACCCAGCAAAGCGCTGCGACTCAGCTCATGGGAGACTTGCCGCTGCACCGCAAGAATCCCCCATTACATCAATATCAACCCGTTCGCATATTAAAATTGAATTTGTGCATTTACAAGTTTTGTTTCAAGGGGACACAACTTTACATTTACAGTTAATGATTTTTTATACCCGTTACTCGTAGAGTAAAAGATTCGTTGAAAAGTATGTAACAGGTAGATGAAAGCGTTTCTGACTCTATAAAGTGTAAATCTCAGAAACTATTAGAGCTAGAAAGTTCAGTATATATAATCTAGGGACGCCAACGCATCTTATGGTGGTATCCGGCTACACCCACTCTTACGTCCGCCAAGTTCAAAAGACGGGTTTCGCATTTTCTAGAAAAGCTGATATCTCGGTAACTATAATAGAATGTGACAGAATGTTCTGATTAAGCATGTAAATTTTTATGATACTCCCAATGCGAATTAATTTGTTTTCTATCAAACCACGCCGACGCGAACGCCCACAAGACCCGAAAAACCAAAAATGCGAAAATCTCGGGAACTATAAGAGCTAGAAAGTTGTGCTTAAGAACACGTATTTAAAAGATGCCAAAAAAGGCCTTATATGGGCAGTGACGTCTTTATAAGTTACTCAACATGCTTTCTCCAATAGGTGGCGTTTTGGGAATTTTCACTATCCAAGTGAATATTTTAAAATTGTGTAAAACAGTAAGGAGTATCTTATAGTAGCGGCACTCAACTATAGCGTTCCTTCTTGTCTTATTATGAATTATAAGGCCAACATTATATATATTTACTTTTCTCTGAATGACCTATACATTAACCTTTAATTAAATATACATTTTTTCTCGCATATAATAAAAAAAAAATTAGGAATAATTTTAAATATCTTATTTGTTGTAGCCGAATTTGGTTTTCTACTATATTACAATCAAACTGAATTATAAAACGTTACATATCTCTAGTTTGAACTGAGCTGGTGACTCTGCGATTGTACATGTGTACAAAGGGGTCACTAGAGCTCATCAGAATGTGACCAAAGGTAGGCTGGGCAATACGCAAGACATAAGGTTAGGTCGAGTCAGACCCGGGCTTAGACACAAGGTCGCCAATCTATTAACTTCTACTATTCTTAAAGTGAATTCTCGCGACTCCCGTTGCTTGACGTGCAACCCACAACCCGCCCAACCTATCGAGGGGCGCTGTCGTCTGACGTACGGCTCGGAACACATAGATCCGAGTGGATTAGTAAAGATACGAGGAAAGTTAGTTTTGTGCTAAATGGATTAGAGTCGAAACTTTCAAGGTGTTAGGAGAAGAGTTAGAAGTATTGTTATAAAGATCATTATAGTTTGAACATAGTACCCGAAATGGTTCGTGTTGGGCAAAGTTCGAACTACAATGCTCTAAGGATATAGGAATATAGTTTCCAGTAATCCTAAGGGGTACATGGATGTTCAAGCGGCCTAGAAGGGCATGGCTATCAATTTCACCCTTAAGAAGATTATGGATAAAGACGACACCAAGCATCGTCCTACGATTAGCGAGGGATGGCAAATTGATTAGTAAGAGTCTACTTTTATAAGAGGGAAGGTGTATGTTTGCATCCCAGTTGAGACCGCGGAGAGCAAATTTTAAAAAATTGTTTTGGATGGATTCAATGAGGCACTGGTGAACCCCATACTGGGGGACCCAGATAGATGATCCATATTCCAGAATCGGAAGAACTAAAGAAATAAAAAGTGTTTTGATAACATAGGGGTCGTTAAATTCCTTCGACCACTGTTTAGTCATTTCATTTCATTGCAACTGGAAATTAAAGATCACTTAAGAGGAACAACTGAAACATATCGCATTAACTTTATTGTCTGTCCCGTCCGTCTAAGCGAGTTGGCCTACCGTTAGAATTCAACTTGGACCTTTAGTTGCTTGTGGCACAGGACCACTTTAGAAGGACGTTCCCGTTTTGGACATCCATTTTTTGGCGCCCCCGGGTGGACTCTTTCTAGACGACTCTTTGGGACATCAGCAAGTTGGCCACAACTTCGGCATTTGTTGGATTTTCAATTTCCAATCTCATCTTGCGAGTTGGATTTTACCCTGACCAGGAGTGCACAGGTAACGAGTGAAAGTGAATTACGAGTTCTAAAGTGCTTGTTATTTAACAAACTTAATAAAATTTGTGGAAAACATTGTGCGGCAAAAATAAGAATTTTCAGGCCTACGCACATATTCATATGTATGCACTAAAGCATTAAGGTGGACCGTAATTCATGTATCACTCGGTGTAAAAATAAAACATATAAAATTTGAAAACCAAAAATTTACGGCCTATTGAATAAAATAAATAAATTTGGCAATATATAAAAATAATAATAATCGAATATAAATTGTGTGTGGTAACCTTTTGGGACCACCCTAATTGATTTGCACTTGAAGAAGCCGTTCGAGCTCATAATTTTGGTGTTCTTTGTGCCTGATTCCGTGCAAAAAAGTGCCGTTGGACTTGCGCCAATAGAGAAGTGCGCATCATTGTCGGTACAGTCGAAAATTACCGTACATTTTTTCAGTTCTCTCTTTTGTCATTTGTGCAAAGCAAATTACCCACCCTCGTTTGCATTAGTTTGCTTGCGCCTTGGTGCTGATGCTGCGTCGGCAGCGAATTTCGTTGTTGTTGCTTTGACTTTGTTGGCTGCGTGGACAGTGAATTTTATTCCTTTTTTGTCTTTGCATTTTCGCTGCTTGGGCAGTGAAATCGGTTCTTTGATTTTGCGTTATTTGTATTGCTGCTTGGGCAGTGAAATTTAACGCTCATCTAACACACACATACACACATATATACAGTGCGTGTATCGCTTAGTGGTGTTCGACCACTCTTGTTCGAAACTTAACTGTCCTCCCACACACAAACATATATACAGTGCGTGTATCGCTTAGTGGTATTCGGCCACACGTGTTGCCTCAATTCCCTTTTCTCAAATACATTTAATTTCGTTTGGATAATTGTTGGCTGCTATTGGAGCAGAGTTGTATAATTATGATGGGAAAAAGGGGAAAGGGTCAAAACAGATCGCTAGGTGAAACCACTTTAAGTCACCTCGATACATTGTTAATGCAGTATAAAAATGTTATTGCCGATATAGAACGCGTTAAAAATACAGTTCAAACGTTCTCAGGGTATGTCGACCCAGTAGAAATTGATTGCCGTTTAGAAATACTAAACCAATATTCTACATATTGCCTTTAAAATTAACCAAGATTTGGATGACATTAATACAGATCTTGTGTCTCGAGCTGACTTAGAAGACTTATGTGCGAAAACAAAGGCTTTATTAAAAAGCAAAGGTACTAGTCACCACATCATCGCCAACACTCAAGCAAATTCAACCATGCTAGGCGTAACTTCTGCTCAAGGCAAAAAACTTCCTCACATGAAGCTGCCAAGGTTTAGTGGGGAGTTGAACTCCCGCAGATGCAAGGCCCTTCTTCATCCTCTTTACGTTCCTTGATAGACACAGTAAGAGCCGTGTATGAGTCATTATTAGGGAAATGACAAACAGATTTCCAACGCTATGCTCATACACTTAGTTATGAGCAAAGTGGACTCTACGACACGGTCAAAATGGGAGGAGAATTTAGATTATACAAAACTACCACTTTGGGATGATTGCGAAAAGGCTCTTAATAAAAGGTATCAGCACCTCTCTGCTGAAGAAAATTCTTCAGGAGGGGGAGCTCGTAGAGCTCAAAAATATGAGCGTAATGGAGGAAAAAAGGGAGGAAGAACTTCGCTAGCAGTGGCTAAGCCAAATGAACAGCATAAAACAAAATGCTCGTTTTGCAAATCGGATGACCACTATATACAAATCTCTTTCAAAGCGAACGGTTGTGTTTTTGCGTGTTCTCGAGCGAATAAATCTTTTAATTTCTTCCCGAATCACCCCGTTGTGGTCACTTTTTTTGCAAACGTTTATCTACTTAAAAAACCGTCTTTCGATTCCGCGTCGTGCAGTGCATTTATTGTTATCTGTTTGCATAAAGCATTTATTGCAAACAAATATCAACAACTGTGGTCTGTATTCTTACATATTCTTGTACTTTGCTTTGTGCTATTAGTAACGGAACTTTCACCGCTTACCTCTCCTAGTACAATATCTGTAGATCTCTGTTCTATATCTCCCACCAAAAACTCTCTCTCCCTCTCTTATACAACTTGCACTCTCTTATAACACCTCTCTCTCGCTAGCACTCTCTCGCTTACTCTATAGCCCTTAACTGTTTCTCTCAAACTCCCTTTCATTCTTCCCTATAATATTTTCTGGCACAGTGGTTTATATTTTAAATTATTTTGCCAAAATGTCTGATATCATCTGTTGTATTAAAAAATGCAATAAAATTGTGTCGGTTGACCAAGTAAGTGTCCACTGTTGGCTGTGTGATAACATTGCGCACTCCAAGTGTGCAGGGTTTAAGTCAGCCACCGTTCCGGATGCTTTGGGTCGTTCCGACTCTGGCTTACACTACTGTTGTGACAGATGCCGTGAGGCCCAGAAGGAAATTAGATCTTTTATGCGGCAGACTAAAAATGGGTTCGGTCAGGTATTGGTTGCTTTTCGAAAAGCTAATAACCTGTTTTCTGCGCTGGACACTCAGTTCAACAATTTACAACTGTTGAATGAGTCTCCTAAGCGCAAAAAACGTCCCGTTTGCCGCCGGCGGTTACCGCCAGTAATGCAAATAACTTCCTTCTCCCTCCGTCTGATGTTCAACAGTCTCCTTCATTGTCACCGCTGCCGTCCACCACTCCAATCGTGACGACACCGGTAACAGCCCATATTTCGGATCCCGAAAATGTTGCTAAGGTGCGTAGGCATTTGTCCGATGAGCAGTCCGAGGTAGTCGCATTGGACCCTCCCGTGCCAAAGGTTCTACAAGCCCAAAAAAATGTACCCTTAACTCACCAGAGGAACTTAGGGTCCGGATTACCGGCACCCACTGGTAGCGTGAGCAAACCTCCCGCCCCGCCAAAACCCTTGATTGGTATTCCTCTAGAGAAACACATTTTTGTTTCCCGGCTTTCCCCTGATACGTCCGAATCGGACATCTTAGCTTACATTCAAGCAAAACTTAAAGTCGATATTAGAGTGGAAAATATTACTAAATATAAATATTCCTACGCTAGGAACGTGGCATCTTTCAAGATCCGTGTTCCTCCGATGGCTTTTGATGATATCTGTTCGACCAATTTCTGGCCGCATTATTTTCGTTCAAGAACATCAGCTTAAGAATAAAAAAAAGAAAAAAGTCGCCCTTTAGGAGTAAAGCTTCCACAAGTAAACGCTCCTGCCAACCTAAAAAACTAACATCATCCTTTATTCTTGCGTACCAGAACACAAGAGGCTTACGTTCTAAACTTTCTAATTTGTTCTCGGTAAGCTTCTCGTTTGCATCCCAGGTCATTGTGTTTACCGAAACCTGGCTTACTCCAGAAATTCTTAATTCTGAAGTTTTCCCCAGTAGGTACACAATATATAGGCTTGACCGATCCCTCGGAAATGGTGGTGGAGTCCTAATTTCAGTGGACTCTAATCTCGTTTCCGAGGTGATAAATCTTCAAACTGGAGACTTAGAATTTATTACAGTTAAAATCTCATTGTCTAGGTTAAAGTTATACATCACTTGCTCTTATATTCCGCCTAAGTCCGATTCCTTGACATATGAGCGGCACCTAGCAGCCATTCAGTCTGTCTTCTCAATGTTATCGGACATGGATCAGCTGGTGGTGTTGGGTGATTTTAACCTACCCCAGGTGGCTTGGACCATGAACGATAACACCTTAGCTTTAACACCTACGTCGCATCACGACTTTACTGCGGGCATGTTAGACATGTCACTGGCTCAAATTAATCATATAGGGAATTCTTTAGGTCGTTTGCTCGATCTGTGCTTTCTCTCTGATACGGACGCCGTATCCATATACAGAGCTCCACCTCGATATGTCGACTGCTCTAGATATATTTTATAGTACATTAAATCTAGTTTTTGATCGCTTTGTTCCGTTGCGGTATCCGGCTTGGCGGATAAACCCCCTTGGTATACAAGGCACCTTTCTAACCTAAAAAATATCAAATTAAGATTCTTTAAAAAATACTTAAGAACCAATAGCAATGACTGTTATGTGCATTATATGGTGGCTCGGTCTAACTTTACCGTGCAAAACACTCAATGTTATAAGAACTATTTAGCTCGATGTAAGAACCAGTTTGCTCTGGATCCGAAACAGTTTTATAGTTTTGTTAACACTAAGCGTAAATCTAAAACCTTTCCGTCTTTGCTATCGTTTCGAAAAACTACTGCAAGCACGGATCAGGAAATTGCCGATCTTTTTGCACAGTTTTTTCAAACTACTTATTCACCTTTGTTAATAAACGAGCAGACTTACGCTTATGATATCCCCCGGTCTAACTTTATTTCCCGACCCACCTTGTCGGAATGTGGGGTTATAAAGGATCTTCAGAATGTGAAGCCAGTCTTTTCGCCAGGTCCAGACGGGGTACCGGGCTGTGTGCTTAGGTACTGCTCTGCTACCCTGGCCAAACCCCTTTTAAAATTATTTAACCTGGAAAGAGTCCCTTATCATTCCCCTTCACAAGAAGGGAAAAAATCGGATGCTGAAAATTACAGAGGTATATCCAAACTATCAGCAATTCCGAAACTCTTCGAAAAAATTCTTGTGCCTCACTTGCAGCACCAGTGTAGATCTGTCATATCTCCATGCCAGCATGGCTTTATGAAACAACGGTCTACCACTACCAATCTTCTGGAACTAACATCCTTCGTGATCACTGGTTTCCAAAATAAACTTCAGACGGATGTCATATACACTGACTTCAGTAAAGCATTTGACTCCGTGAATCACAGCCTTCTTTTAGAAAAACTCGATCTTATCGGTTTTCCCACTGATCTCCTGGGTTGGATTAGCAGTTACCTCACAGGTAGAACGCAACGAGTTCTTTTTAAAAATTCAGTGTCTGCTTTAGTATATGCTTCCTCCGGGGTCTCTCAGGGGAGCCACCTTGGTCCGTTACTTTTTACTTTATTTATTAACGACCTTCCCTTGGTTGTTAATGACTCCCTAGTACTTATGTATGCAGACGATGTCAAGCTCTGTCTGCAATATACCGATGCCTCCTACCAGGTGAAACTGCAATCTGACCTTAATAATTTTCAAAACTGGTGCTCTTCAAACTTATTAAATCTTAATGGCTCTAAGTGCAAAGCAATGACCTTCTGTCGCCTAAGACCTAAAGTTGCCACTTATAATTTGCATGGTGTAGCTCTGGAAAGAATTAATGCAGTTGAAGATCTTGGCATCCTACTGGATGCAAAACTTAAGTTTTCCGACCATATTTCCTCTATGGTTAATAAAGCTAGAGGAGTTCTTGGTTTCATTAAAAGGTGGTCGAAGGAATTTAACGACCCCTATGTTACCAAAACACTTTTTATTTCTTTAGTTCGTCCTATTCTGGAATATGGATCATGTATCTGGGACCCCCAGTATGGGGTTCACCAGTGCCTTATTGAATCCATCCAAAAGAATTTTTTAATATTTGCTCTCCGAGGTCTCAACTGGGATGCAAATATACACCTTCCCTCTTATAAAAGTAGACTCTTACTAATCAATTTGCCATCCCTCGCTAATCGTAGGACGATGCTTGGGGTAGTCTTTATTCATAATCTTCTTAAGGGGGAAATTGATAGCCAGGCCCTTCTTGGCCGCTTGAATATCCAATGATCTTTATAACATTATTTCTAACTCGTCTCCTAACACTCTGAAAGTTTCGATACTAATCCATTTAGCACAAAACTAACTTTCCTCGTATCTTCACTAATCCACTCGGATCTATCCCCGTGTTCCGAGCCGTACGATAGACGGCAGCGCCCCTCGGTCGGTTGGGCGGGAGGTGGGTTGCACGTCAAGCAACGGGAGTCGCGCGAAAAAAAAAAAAAATCTTGTTCTTCTTTTGCTGCTATCCCATGCAATAATCGTTTCAAGTTCGTTAAATCATTTCCTCTGTGTATAAACTGCCTGCGAAAAGGTCACACAGTTACAGCCTGCAAGTCGAGCACTTGCAGAGTCTGTTCTAAGCCGCATCATACTCTATTGCATAGGTACGAAACAGAAACTCAAGAGGAATCCTCTAGACAAGCTCTAACAGCACAAACTTCGACATCTAGTCAATTGTCATCCACTAATCTTGCTGCTAGCGATTCTGATCAAGTCATATTAGCTACGGCAATAATAAAAATAAAGGATCAGTTGGGATCTTACCACATGGCCAGAGCGCTCTTAGACTCTGGGTCTCAGGTAAATTTTATTACCGAAAACCTTGCTAATACTTTGAAATTACCCAAATCTCGAAAAGACATCAATTTAATAGGCATAGGTCAGACAAAATCTGCCATTCGGCATGCCGTTCAAACTGATATTGCCTCTTGTTTGAATTCCTTTGAAACAATGACTGAATTAAGTATTCTAAAATCTATCACGTCCTATCAACCCGAAAGGCTTGTGGAAAATGTCAACATTCCAAGTCATATTGATCTCGCCGACCCCCTTTTCCATAAGCCGCAACGTGTAGACTTGCTGCTTGGGGCAGACGCTTTCTTCGATCTTCTTAAAGATGGGCGTCTAAGGTGTAAACAAGATTCTTTAACTTTACATGAAACAGTTTTTGGTTGGATTGCGTCTGGTCGTTGTAAAATCCCACAAAATAAGAAAGCTTGCTCAACATCATTATTAAGTATAACTGGTGAATCGTCGTTAGACTCAATTGTTAAAAAGTTCTGGGAGCTAGATCAAGTTCAAAATACCTCGAATCCAAATTTATATACCCCAGAACAGCTTCTTTGCGAGCAATCGTTTACTGAATCTGTAAACAGATTACCCTCGGGCAGGCTGAGTGTTAAATTGCCGTTTAAATCTAGTCCGACGTGTCTTGGCTCGTCCTTTGGGACATCTATGAGACGATTTCTTGGCTTGGAGAGGCGAATGGGAAAACAAGCAGAAGTCCGTGACATGTATATCTCCTTTATGAAAGAATACATCTCACTAGGTCATATGAGTGCAATCAATAACACAATCCCGTGTGAGCCACATTATTTTATCCCATACCAGTGTGTGCTCAGATGGCAAAGCTCTTCAACAAAGTTGCGAGTCGTGTTCGATGCGTCAAGCAAAACATCATCACAAATATCGCTTAATGATACTCTTATAGTTGGTCCAACGATACAACCATCTCTCTATGCAACTTTGCTTCGTTTCCGTTTACATCCTTACGCAATTAATGCTGACATCACTAAGATGTACCGTCAAGTGGAAATTGACGAGACCCAGAGATGTTTTCAATTAATCATCTGGAGAGAGAACCCTCACGACCAATTGCAAATTTATCAATTAAATACAGTTACATATGGCACTGCGTCAACACCTTTTTTGGCTATCCGGTGTCTGAAATACTTGAGTGACATACACGCAACATCGCATAAATTAGCATCGAAATCACTTGCTAATGATTTTTATGTCGATGATTTATTAGCGGGTGCAGAAACGCCAGAGGAATTAGGATTGTTGCAGCAGGAGTTGGATTCTGTATTAAAACCATTTGGATTTGGTTTAGCCAAATGGTCATCAAACTGCCAACAATTTCAAGTTTCTGATGCGTCCACTCCAATTGGGTCGCAAGATGACACCAAAACTTTGGGTTTAATTTGGAATCCCAAAAGTGATGTGTTTAAATACTCCGCAGACCATCTTTCACTCGATTTCGTGCCGACTAAAAGGTCTATTTTATCGTTTGTAGCACGTTTATATGACCCGCTTGGATTATTGTGTCCAATTGTCACTCGCGCTAAAATTCTTATTCAAGAAATCTGGCTGCATAAGTTAGATTGGGATGAAGCATTGCCCACAGATTTACTTGAACAATTCAAATCGGTAACTAATTGATTTTCAAATCTAGATTCACTCAGCATACCTCGTCATATTGGAATCGCAAAAAATATGAAATATCAAATTCACGGATTCGCCGATGCGTCAAATAGAGCATACGGCTGCTGCATTTATGTCAGAGTGGAGCATCAGGAAAGAACGTTTACACGATTGCTCACAGCAAAATCCAGAGTAGCACCTCTCAAAACAAAGTCGGTGCCTCGTTTGGAGCTCTGCGCTGCTCACTTACTGGCAAAGTTATGGAGTGAAATTAGGGATATGTTGAACTCACCAGTGGACGACATCTTTTTGTGGTCGGACTCTGAGGTGGTGCTGTATTGGATTAAGAAGCACCCATCACACCTGAACACATTTGTTGCGAATCGTGTAGCAGAGATTCAAGAATTGACTTCGCAAGCTGTCTGGCGTCATGTGCCTACCAGCGCGAATCCAGCGGACATCCTTTCACGTGGCTGCTCAACTAGTGAGCTCGTGAAATCAATTTGGTTTACGGGCCCAAATTTCTTAAAGGAAAACCGAGCCTATTGGCCAGTAAATCACCACCTGGAACCCCCCAAAGATCTCTTTGTATTAGAGATGCGGAGAGATACCACAGTCTTGATCGCGGCCGATGCACTGAAGAATCCATTTATGGATCTGGTTAACAAGTCTTCGTCATATTTGAAAATTCTGCGCATCGTGTCATACATGCTTCGATTTATTAATGGGAAATCGCACAAGCAGACTTCACTCGTGCCATCAGCAGAAGAACTTCGTTCGGCGTTTTTAGCAGTGGTGTCTGCATTGCAGCGAATCGAATTCGCAACTGAAATTGCAAAGCTACAAAAATCATGGATTTTACAACCATCCTATCAAAAACTTAATCCATTTTTGTATCCTCATCAAGCTGGCAAGCATTTGTGGTGGCTGCTCAGAGTTGGCGGTCGTTTGCTGAAAGCACCTATGCCACACAATGCTAAATTCCCGTTACTCATGCCAAAAGATTGCCGTTTCGTTAAATTATACCTACAATATTTACATCATTCAAATTGTCATGCAGGTCCACGTGCCTTGGTGGCTATTCTTCGGCATGAAATTTGGTTGGTGAACGCTCGTCAAGCTTGTAATAGCATTGTACGGAAGTCTGTACATTGCTTTCGTTATAAGCCAGTTTTGGCAACCCAAATAATGGGAAATTTACCTGCTGATCGTCTTCATGGCAATAGACCTTTTGAGATCAGTGAAGTGGACTTTTGTGGTCCAATCTTGGTAACCTTAGGAATTAGAGGAAAGTCAGCTGTAAAGATGTATATTGCCATATTTGTTTGCTTTGCCTCTAAGGCTGTTCACATAGAACTTGTTTCAGACCTCACTTCTAAATCATTTATTATGTGCTTGTCTAGGTTTGTTGGCCGGCGTGGGCGGGCACAGAAGATCTACTGCGACAATGCCACCAATTTTGTCGGTGCCTCTCGGATGCTTCAAGAGTTCAAGGATCACTTCTTTACCAACAAGGATGCCATAATGGCATTTGCTGCCACCCGAGGAATCTCTTTTTCGTTCATTCCGCCCCGAGCGCCGCATTTCGGCGGCCTCTGGGAGGCGGCCGTAAAATCGGCCAAAGGATTAATGATCAAGGCGTGGGAAGTGCAGTGCTCCGGCAGGACGAACTGAACACCGTGCTGGTGGAGGTAGAAGCCATTCTAAATTCGAGGCCCATGGTCGTGGACAGCTCCAACCCCAACGATGGCGAAGCAGTTACCCCAGCCCATCTGTTGGTCGGGACAACGCTCGTTGCGCTGCCATTCGTATTCAGTCAGCCAGTAACAGACGACAAACTGAGCTACTTAAAGAGATGGCAACTGATATCCGCCATCAAGCAACGGTTTTGGGTAGATTGGTAACGCGATTACGTCCTGAGTCTACAACAGCGGCAGAAGTGGCTGAGCGAGAGCCTCAACATCGAACTCGGAACTATCGTCGTGGTCCACGAGGACAACAGTCCGCCGCAGCAGTGGCTGCTAGGAATCATCGAGGAGGTGAGCAAAGGCGCGGATGGAATGGTTCGAGTGGCAGTCGTCAGAACTAAATCTGGCGTGTATAAGCGTTCTATTCATCGGTTAGCTCCTTTACCAATTGAGGAATCTTGAAGCCCTGCAGCCGTTCAACGCGGCCGATGTTAAGTCATTTCATTTCATTGCAACCCCTACTGTTTAGATATATTCAATAACAACTTAAAAATTTGCTCATATAGTTGCACACATTTTTATAAATACGCTTAAGCTTAAGTTTACTTTGTTTACTCTTGAATTACTACTCTTAAGGAACATATGTACATATGTAAATTTACTTGTTTACTCTTGAATGGCTACTCTTAAGGTGCATATGTATGTACAAACAGCGCTCTTTAATTGTTACGCTCACTTTGTCACACATACTGGAATTTGCATGCTTACACATACACGCGCAATTATGCGAGCGCATTAGTTCTAAAGCCAAATGAATTGGAAATTAAAGATCACTTAAGAAGAACAACTGAACCATAGCGCATTAACTTTATTGTCTGTCCCGTCCGTCTAAGCGAGTTGGCCTACCGTTAGAATTCAACTTGGACCTTTAGTTGCTTGTGGCACAGGACCACTTTAGAAGGACGTTCCCGTTTTGGACATCCAACCACCTTTTAATGAAACCAAGAACTCCTCTAGCTTTATTAACCATACAGGAAATATGGTCGGAAAACTTAAGTTTTGCATCGAGTAGGATGCCAAGATCTTCAACTGCATTAATTCTTTCCAGAGCTACACCATGAAGAGTATAAGTGGCATCTTTAGGTCTTAGGCGACAGAAGGTCATTGCTTTGCACTTAGAGCCATTAAGAATTAATAAGTTTGCAGGTAGGAGGCATCGGTATATTGCAGACAGAGTTTGACATCATCTGCATACATAAGTACTGGGGAGTCATTAACAACCAAGGGAAGGTCATTAATGAATAAAGTAAAAAGTAACGGCCCAAGGTGGCTCCCCTGAGGGACCCCGGAGGAAGCATAGACTAAAGCAGATACAGAATTTTTAAAAAAGAACTCGTTGCGTTCTACCTGTGAGGTAACTGCTAATCCAACCGAGGAGATCATTAGGAAAACCGATAAGATCGAGATTTTCTAATAGAAGGCCGTGATTCAATGAGTCAAATGCTTTGCTTTAAGTCAGTGTAAATGACATCCGTCTGAAGTTTATTTTGGAAACCAGTGATCATAAATCCATGCTGACATGGAGATATGACAGATCTACACTGGTGCTGCAAGAGAGGCACAAGAATTTTTTCGAAAAGTTTCGGAAATGCTGATAGTTTAGATATACCTCTGTAATTTTCAGCAACCGATTTTTTCCCCTTCTTGTGAAGGTTAATAATAAGGGACTCTTTCCAGATAGCGGGAAGCATGGACGTTTCCAGGGAAAGGTTAAATAATTTTAAAAGGAGTTTGGCCAGGGTAGCAGAGCAGTACCTAAGCACACAGCCCGGTACCCCGTCTGGACCTGCCGAAAAGACTGGCTTCACATTCTGAAGATCCTTTATAACCCCAAATTCCGACAAGGTGGGTCGGGAAATAAAGTTAGACCGGGGGATATCATAAGTGTAAGTCTGCGCGTTTATTAACAAAGGTGAGTAGGTAGTTTGAAAAAACTGTGCAAAAAGATCGGCAATTTCCTAATCCCAGCTTAAAGTAGATTTTCCAAACGATAGCAAAGACGGAATTGTTTTAGATTTACGCTTAGTGTTAACAAAACTATAGAACTGTTTCGGATCCAGAGCAAACTGGTTCTTACATCGAGCTAAATAGTTCTTATAACACTGAGTGTTATGCACGGTAAAGTTAGACCGAGCCACCATATAATGCACATAACAGTCATTGCTAGTTAGTTCTTAAGTATTTTTTAAAGAATCTTAATTTGATATTTTTAGATTAGAAAGGTGGCTTGTATACCAATGGGGTTTATCCGCCATAGCCGGATACCGCAACGGAACAAAGCGATCAAAAATTAGGTTTAATGTACTATAAAATATATCTTGAGCAGTCGACATATCGGTACATGCGTAAAAATCGGACCAGTCTAATTCTGAAATAAAGTTATCAATTTTTTAAAGTCGGCTTTACAAAAACATCGAATTTTCTTATCAGCGTAATTCTTTTTAGGCTTAGTACATAGCCCCGTTTCGATCGTAAGAATTAATGTTTGATGATAAGGATCTTCAGGGTCTGTGAGAGGTGGAGCTCTGTATATGGATACGGCGTCCGTATCAGAGAGAAAGCACAGATCGAGAAAACGACCTAAAGAATTACCTATATGATTAATTTGAGCCATTGACAAGTCTAACATGCTAGCAGTAAAGTGCGACGTAGGTGTTAAAGCTAAGGTATTATCGTTCATGGGCCAATCCACCTGGGGTAAATTGAAATCACCCAACACCACAAGCTGATCCATGTCCGATAACATTGAGAAGACAGACTGAATGGCTGCTAGGTGCCGCTCATATGTCAAGCAATCGGACTTAGGCGGAATATAAGAGCAAGTGTTATATAAATTTAACCTAAACAATGAAATATTAACTGTGATAAATTCTAAATCTCCAGTTTGAAGATTTATCACCTCGGAAACGAGATTAGAGTCCACTGAAATTAGGACTCCATCACCATTTCCGAGGGATCGGTCAAGCCTATATATTGTGTACCTACTGGGGAAAACTTCAGAATTAAGAATTTCTGGAGTTAGTCAGGTTTCGGTAAACATAATGACCTGGGATGCAAACGAGAAGCTTACCGAGAACAAATTAGAAAGTTTAGAGCCATCGGAGGAACACGGATCTTGAAAGATGCCACGTTCCTAGCGTAGGAATACTTATACTTAGTGATATTTTCCACCCTTATATCGAGTTTAAGTTTTGCTTGAATGTAAGCTAAGATGTCCGATTCGGACGTATCAGGAAAAAGCCGGGAAACAAAAATGTGTTTCTCTAGAGGAATACCAATCAAGGGCTTTGGCGGGGCGGGTGGTTTACCCACGCTACCAGTGGGTGCTGGTAGTCCGGACCCTAAGTTCCTCTGATGAGTCAAGGGTAAATTCTTTTGGGCTTGTAGAACATTTGGCACGGGAGGGTCCAATGCGACTACCTCGGACTGCTCATCGGACGAAAGCCTACGCACCCTAGCAACATTTTAAGGATCCGACATATGGGCTGTTACCGGTGTCGTCACGATTGGAAAGGTGGACGGCAACAGTGACAATGAAGGAGACTGTTGAACATTAAACGGAGGGAGAAGGGAGTTACTGGCGGTAACCGCCGGCGGTAAACGGGACGTTTTTAGGAGCTTAGGAGACTCGTTCAACAGTTGTAAATTGTTAAACTGAGTGTCCAGCGCAGAAAACAGGTCGTTAGAATAGTACAATTTGTATAAGAGAGGGAGAGAGAGTGTGTTTTCGAGAGCTACAAGCCGGTGGGAGATACAGAAAAGAGATCTACAGATGTTGTACTGGAGAGGTAAGCAGTGAAAGTTCCGTTACTAAAAGCACAAAATAAAGTAAAAAATATATCTTAGAATACAGACCACAGTTATTGATATTTGCTTGCAATAAATGCTTTATGCATCCTGAGCTCACTATCTTATACTTTTCCTGAGAAGTTGACGAATAACTTCCTAACAATTCCTCTTCTTTATTAAAATTTTGTATATTTTTGTTTAAGAAGCTACCATTTTTCTGAATAGATAATGGGGATGGAATGGTTTGCAGTTCCTCTAGAGAGTTTGCAGTTCCTGGAGACCGGCCATATAAAGGAGCTGCAAACCGTTCCTGTTGTCCGATATTTAATGGTGTGGTAAACGCTGCCGAGGCTTACGTAACAGCATGTCTGCATGAGTTTCAGAGGAAATGTATAGAAGCTTACTAGAAGAAGAGCTTTCAATGTCCGGTGTGCCAGGCGACTTACAGGCCTAAAATACCTAAGATAATAGATAGCGTTATTTCGGCATAACGTTACTAGCTATGGAGCAAAAAGTTGTTGGAGTCACTTTCAGAAAAGATGTCAAAGTTAATCCGGAACTCGGTAGCCGACGTTCTAACTACGATTTTAGCCACTCAAAATCACAGCTCGGGAATGCGTCAGCCGTGGTTAGCTCCATCAGAGGAAAGTTAACAAAATAGGATAGACACAGAAAATTCCGGTATACATGTAAGATAAAGCAATAAGTCAGATTTGTTGAACAGCCCCGATAAAGTAATAAGTAATGTAATAGTAGCGATAAAGAATTTTAGGGCCTATGTCGAAGGTTACAACTTTAAAATTATCACGGCTTTCTCGGGATAACGAAAAATTGGTGGCCGTGGTGGACTTGCGAGACGGACTACTCGGGGTTTTGAGTTCGGAATATTTTAGATCAGTGGAATACACCGAGCTAGTGTGTTAAAAGTGTTAAAAATGAAATCATCTGCACGATAAATTCCCATGGAAACTTTGGGTTCCCAAGGAACTAGTACTTGAAATACTGCCGAGAGCTCATGAAAATCCCTTCTCGTTCCACAGGGTATCCATAAGACAATCGAGAGAGTAAGACGTTACTATTTTTGACCTGGTCTAGTGCCTGACATTAAGGCTTATGTCAATGCTGGCGAGGTATACAGGACCACGAAGTCGATAAATTGCGTCGATAATAACGACTGCCATTAGGGAAAGCGCCAGAAAGGGATCGATTTTTTCAACTTCTATTTATAGATTTTCTCGGCCCTTTCCCCACATAATTTTTCTACATACGTTTTTCTGAAACCCGTTTGGAAAATTGACACAAGTTCTGTGGCTAAATATTTGGAGGCGGAATTGTTCCTGATGTATGGAGTACCGGAAACTGTATTAATCCCACTCATTTAACAAATTAATGAAGCAGTACTGCGTAACTCACACCTTTACTGCGGTACATTCTCCCAAAGCAAAAGCTTCAGAACGCTTAGATCGTTTGGTGATTTATTAGTCAATCGAGCACTGAAATTAGGCCGTCAGGCTTTCTTAGAAATTGCAAGAGAAAATTCGTGCCGACAAATGCAGTAAAAGCTCAATGAAAACGAGAAGAGCTATAATTTGCGTTCTCGAAATGCGACTTTTAGGGAAGGACAGGAAGTGTATCGAAGAAATTTTAGGCAAAGCTGTTTGCAGTTGTTAAATGTAGGGT